GGGGGCGTGGGGCGCGCACCTGGTGGCCGTGGGGGCGGCGCCGGGCCACACGTGGACTCTTAGGGACAGTGAGGGCGACCCTCTGCACGCCCGAGCCACGCCGGGAGCTGCGGGAGGTGCCACTCCAGTCGTGCGTTCCGCCCCGCTCGGCTACGGAACTTCTGCCACTTTTTTTTGTTTTCGGTTCTTTGCTAGCGTTGCCGAGCCGCTGCCCCCTCCTCCGACTTCCTTTCATTTCTCTGCATCGAATCCCCCTCCCGGCCCACCCCCGACTGTCACGCGTTTCAGAGGTGCCCGGTCTCCCTCCGAGGGGGAGATTTGGAAACCGGGGTCCCCGCCCCTCTTCTCACGGCGGAGAACAGGGGTCAGGTTCCCGCTCACTTCAGAATAAATCGTGACTCCAGCAGCGCAAATTTGCACCTTGAGAAAAAGTTTCCACCTGGGTCAGAGCCGCGGGGAAAACCGTTAGGGCTCCGCGCGGTGGTTTCAGGGCCGGGAAACCGGAGACAGGCCGAGTGCAGAGCGGGTGACAGCCAAGGACGGTCCCCGGGGTGGGCGAGGGGGGCCGGGGGGTCATTAGAGGTGCCCGAATGTCCCCTCCCAGCAAACTGACAACCAGAGGAAAGGGGGCTCTGCCTTCATTAGGCTCTCGAGGGATTTAATGGTGGGGCTCAAAATAGCCCGTCTAGAGGATTCGAGAAGTAGTTTCTGGAGAAAAGATACTCCGTGGAAAGTGGGGAACTCCAGGCCGTCCTGGCCTGTTAGACAATCACAGACTCTTCCCTGCGGCTTCACTGCGCCCGCCGGGTGCCCTCTGCAGAGTAAGCGCAATTGCGCAGTCTGCAGCCCGGGACTCCTTCCCGGTCCTGCTCAGCTCTGGTGCCAGAGATCAGAGTGGGAGAGGGGCAGTCTCCGCACCGAGTCCCGGATCAGGCAAACCCTGGCGGACTGCGCCTCTGTCACTTGCCTGAGGCGTCACTTGGGGCAAATGACTGCTCTGGGCCTCTTCTCAATTCTGTAATAGCGCTCAGAGGGGTTAGGTCGTTGAGCGGGGCAGTGTACGAGCGCCTGCACCTGCTCCGTACGTGGTGCTCATTCCCCACGGCCTTGCCTTCCGCGCTGGTGTGGGCAACGCGCGGGGCTAAGGGGCTGACAGTTACCTGTCACTCGCTGGCCGTTTGGGGAAAGTCAAAGACTCTGATATGTTTTCTCATCTGGAAAATGGAGCTCACCATGCCCACCTCACGGCATCTCCAGGAGACTCGAATCGGTTAATGACTAAGAAAGAGCCAGGCACACAGCAGAGCCCTGGTCAGGGCAGGGGTCCTTTCTTCTACCTCCAGGCTGGAGGCCGCATCCCTGCCTGGCTCTCCAGGGGAGAGACCTGGAGAACTGCCCAGGGGTTGCCTTTGGGGAGGGAAATTTCACGTCTGCCTTGTAGGGAGAGCAGGAAACTGGAGTTTGTCCTGTCTGAGGGATGCTCTTACAGGAAGTCTGGGCCGCCAACACCAAGAACTGCATCATGGTCCATCTAGTGTTCAGTCTGACCTTCCCAGATCTTGGGTGACAGTTGAGAGGCAGAGGCGTAGCCCTGGAAGGAAGCGGCCCAGAGCCGACAATTTGTGGCGCAGTAAGAGACAGTAAATTGGGGCCCACTGTGGATTTCTGTTCTTTCTGGAGTCTTATAAAATCCTGGGGTTCTCTTTGCTTAGATGGGAGACTCTTGGTTGGAAGATGGATTGTCAGACTAGAGAGGGGTCAAAGCCCTAGGTGCCCCGCCATGATACAACTACTAACACCTGCATTTAAACCCAGAATTAGAGTGACCCCCAAAACTCGGCCTTTCCCTCCAGGGCATCAACAGGGGGATGGGTTCTGCTCTTTTCTTCCAGATGTGCACCATGGTGGCTAATTGCTGCCAGAGGCGATGGTATCAGTTTGCTTCCTCCCTGCCAGGAGGGGCAAGAATATTCCGTCGTCACAGCTCGCACTTGGAGGCTACCAGTCACAAGCTCCGAGAAGTTGAGCGGACAGCAGTGTCAATGCCCAGCCTCCCAGCCCTCAGCTGCTTGAGCAGAGCTCGGAGTTTGGGAGACCGGGATCGAGCCCCCCGTGTGTGTGTGTGTCTTTGCCTTTTAGAGCCCGTCTACGTCCCCTTCCTCATCGTCGGCTCCATCTTCATCGCGTTCGTCATCCTGGGCTCTGTCGTGGCCATTTACTGCTGCACCTGCCTGAGACCCAAGGAGCCGTCGCAGCAGCCAATCCGCTTCTCGCTGCGCAGCTACCAGACGGAGACCCTGCCCATGATCCTGACCCCCACCGGCCCCAGGGCGCCCTCCCGGCAGTCCAGCACGGCCACCAGTTCCAGCTCCACGGGGGGCTCCGTCCGCAGGTTCTCCTTCGCCAGGGCTGAGCCCTGCTGCCTGGCGCCCTCCCCGCCCCCGCCGTACTCCACCGCCCACCCCATCCACCTGGCTCAGCCCTCCGGTTTCCTGGTGTCGCCCCAGTATTTCGCCTACCCCCTCCAGCAGGAGCCCCCCCTGCCCGGGAAGAGCTGTCCAGACTTCAGCTCCAGTTGACAGCTGTGACCACGAATGCACCACGTAGTGGGTGGCAGACGCCCATTGCCTCATGCGTCCCTGAGAAAGTCCCCTAGTCACTGACCGGTGTCACAGAGGAGGCAACTGTGCTAGGAAAACGTGGTGCCTTCTAATCGTAAGGTTCCTGGCTCCCGTCACGGAAAGCCTGAGTTAGAGAATGGCTTTTCCGGTTTTGTAAACATAGCGACTATTACATTTCAATGTATGCTACTTTTATTCAAAACACGCAGCAGTTTGACTTTGAAATTGCAAATCGGCTGAAAGTGTTTTGCTGGACAGTTCAGCTATACTGTTTGGGAGAGGGCTGTGTGTTCATTTTTCATATGTTTATTGAATATGGTAGAAATATACACATAAATAAGCAGAGGAAAATACCTAATTGTAATTATCAACGGTTCACTTAAAAGTTAACTATTAAGTAAATTTGAGGGGGCAGTGAACAACCTATTTATGATGTTGGAAGTAACCTAACTCTGAATAATGTTAGCATAATGAGAACATTTACCTTTTAAATTAATAACTAAATTTTGTTTGAAATATAAGAGTTTTCTTTTTTCAAAATACAAGCTTTCAATAACCACATGAGGAGTTTAAACTTACTCATTGTAACACAGATTCTGTGTAAAATCATTTCCCCCACCTACCCGAGGGAATATTTATTGCCAACTTTTTTGTTCGGCAACGTTTAGCGTTTTGATGCAAGTTGGACAGTTGGATCTAAAAACATTTATTTGTAAAATGAGTTTATGTACAAATGTAAAGATTTGTAATTTAATGTATTGACCACATTGACTCTACTAATTATTTAGTAGTCACACTGTAATTTTTATGTTAATAATAACGGTGGAGTTCAGAGTCCGCTATTGGTGTAATCATCTAATATTACGTATCTCAAGTGCCACAGAATTCCGTGTCCCATGACTACACGTGTGGCACATATTCTGCTGGGTTAGGAGAAATAAAGTACTTTATGTTTTCATAAACTCTATTTGAAATTTTAAATCAACGTGCTTCATTTTATCTCCTTAGTGATATTCTCTGCAGTTTAATAAAAGGAAATGTCTTCACTTAACACACGCTTTATATTTTGAAATCTAAAAAATATTTTCTGCATCCAGGCTTGTGAAAACAGTAAAGGAAGTGAACTTTTGAGAGGTCTCAGTCTGCTGCATGCGGCCCTCAGATGTGCCATTTGGCCTGTGGAGATTTAAACACTGGGACATTTCTCGTAAGAGCCTGGATTTCTGCCTTTTCGTGACAGATAGAAACTATGGCACCGTCAGCCAGCCTCCTGCCACCTGCCGTGTGCCAGCCTCCTGCCACCTGGTCTCTCCACCCGGCTCAGCTCCTTCTGCTATGGTACCCGCCTGGCCCCTGCAGGTGTGGCTTGGGAGCCCAGAAACATCCTACCACACGTCACTGTCAACAGTTCTTTTCTAAACTAGTTAGAGGCAGAATTGTGACCTAAGAGGGTTGTTTGGGCCGGTCTCTGTGATCTCCAGCTGAGGAAACACATTCAGAGAGACGGTGCCTTTGCCCAGTCTAAAGGCAGAGGGGCTCCGGCTTCTAGTCTCCTGCTTTCTCCGTACCTGAAAGGGTTCTGACTTCCAGGTGTCTCAAATTACTCAGAATAATTAAGGAAAGAAGCAGCTACATGTAAAAGGAAACGTGTTAACGAGCGTGATCTAGAACACACTCCTGTACTGTTAGACTGGTCTTGTTCATGTTTGCTGTACATCGTGTATACTGCTCTTTCTATGGTTTCAAATTATCCTCTTTTGAGCTCTTACTGTGAGCCAAGCACTAGTCTAAGTATTTACAGGTCTTAACTCATTTCATCCTTCAAACAACCCCAACAGGGAGGTATTAGAATTCCTATTTTACAGATTTGGAAACTGAGGCACAGCGGAGTGAAGTACCTTGCCCGAGGTCCTGTAGCTAGTGAGTGCTGGAGTTGGTACGCAGAAGCAGGGTCCGAACACTGACTTTGAGATTTTGGTGCCTCTGGGCAAAATCCACTGCAGATTTCAGAAGCGCGAGGCCCAGCCTCTCAGACAGTGATTCTCAGCCCCGTTCGAACCAACGAGCTCTCCTTAGAACAAATATTTCATGACATCCCTTTAACTGTTCCAAAATGAAATTTATACATAATAGAACTATTACACACATAATTTTAAAAAACCAACGCAATGCCCTAATGGTAATTAGAAAGGAGAAAGAAGAGGAAAGTAACTTATTTCAAAATGTCACAGCTTGGACAGACTTAACCAAAAACTCAGATGCAGACGCCTTACGCGGAATCACCACCTGCGGCAGCTTCAGACTCGGACCCATGCAGGTTTGCTAGACTGGCACAGTTTCGCTGCCGCCGTTAATGTGATTTTTGAAAAACAAAGTTTGATCTTCCTTTGGTTTGCACGGTGGTTGGGTATCTGAAAAGTTCAGCGTCTGCTAAGGCAAACAGCACTTTCTAGGTAAAATAGGATTATATTTTTCCACCAACAGGAACGACGATGGCACATTCCAAAGTCATGCTGATGGGTATCAAATCTTCGTTGTGCAGACTGCCCGTGCACAACCATGTAGGGTCCGTGTAGGGTCCATGTAGGGTCCGTGTAAGGTCCGTGTAGGATCCGTGTAGAATCTCTGTTATAACCGAGTCCCACCCAATGAATGCCAGCTCACCTGTCTCCACCCCTAAACAGTCTAATGCCAAAGATGCTCCCCCACAATTCCACATGTCCTCTGGACTGCAGCGGTCCCCAACCTTTTTGGCACCAGGGACCGGTTTCGTGGAAGACGGTTTTTCCACGGATGGGGGCTGGGGGGAGGTGGAACTCAGGCAGTGATGCCAGCGACGGGAAGCCAAAGCTTCCTTCTCTCTCACCCGCTCTTCACCCCCTGCTCTGCACCCCGCTCCCCGTTGCTAAGTTTCATAAAGACGATTTTCCACCGATGGGGGTGAGGCTGAGCTCTGTCACCCGTTCCCTAACAGGCATCCGAGGAACTGCCTCCACTGAAACCATCTAGTTTCTGAGGTTTCTCTAGGGGCTGTCCTGTCATTTGCCAGCCCTTTGGAGAGCAGTTTATGTCCACCAGGCAGACGAACGCTAAGGAATTCATAGAGTGCTCCCATCTGCAAATTTCCCCTCCTTGGAAGGATGCCCCAATCAATCAAGTTAACTGGCCACAAATTATTTAAAATTAGGGAGACACTGTGTACCCCATGGTAAGACAGCTTCAGGGACACTGAATCAAATCACATTCTCAAGGACTTGGTGACATGTAGTATAAGTCTTTGACCTTCTCTCGAAGCTATGCAGGTGGTAATATTATCATTTGCAATCCTAGGGGCAACAAGGCCATTCTGCGGCAGATTTCTAGATACTGTTCTATTTAACCAGCCTTTGTTGAACACCACTTGTGGGGCAGGGTTCGGCTGAATAAAAGATGCATAAAATGCAGGTTGGACTCAAGGAGCCACTCTGTCTACAGTGGATTCCAGCATGACAGCGTGTACTCGTGAGAAAATGTTACAGGTGGTTTGTGAAAGCAGCACATTCTCCCTTCTGCTTTCCAGGAGCTCACAGATTGGAGAAGAGGGACCCACAGACCCACACTTAGAACACATTACGGCCGCAGCGATGATTACAGGGGTGTGCAAGACGCCCGGTGACACGTATGAAGGACATTAATTCAAAGGACCAGGGCCTTGAGAGACACCAGGATTTGGGTGAAGAAGACTGGGCAGGGGAAGAGAGAAAAGACGCTGAAAGTAAGGGGATAGCACATTAATTAGAGCACAGAATTTGCTGGAAGGCGCAGAAGCACCATGAGTCTGAAAGAGCGAGGAACATTCATTACTATGAATCCAGAGGCAGAGTGAGGTTGGGGGGGCAGCAGGGCAGATCGGGGGCCTTGAACACCACGGTGGCTGCACAGATACCAGACGCAAGAGGGAGTCTCGAAGGATCTCATGGGGCGACCTGATCGTACCTTCATCGTAGAAAGATTAGGCAACAAGGGTCTAATGACATCACTCGAAATCTCCACGGAGATGCTTATCACAACCAGCCACAACACCGAAATACAGTGGCGACCTGTCTGATTGATGTTTTTCTTACTCTGGCAAAGACTTTGAGTCCTAACATCCTCAAACCACGATTATTGTGAAAAATAGAGGTCCAGCGCTTGGAAAGGTAGTTATGCCAACGATGAGTGACATTTGCTAAGCACCAGGGGTGTGTCCCAAGTGCTCTATGAATCGTTCACTGAATCTTTACAACCCCGCAGCAGGGACCACGATCGTGTCCGTTTTGCAGATGAAGAAATCAAGGTAGGAGGCTAAACGTCATGCCCGAGGACAGGCAGTAATAGCAGGACCAAGATCTGAATTCGGGCAGTCTGCTTTGAAACGCTACGTTCTTTATGACATTAGGTCTACACAGCCTGATTTTCTCAGGGAAAAAAATATCCAATCTACCTTTCAGAAAATCTATGAAAGGAAAAGTGATTAATTGCATAGTATCATACATACCCTATAGATATCAGGGGTGTGTAGTGGTCAAGCAGCATTTCTGCTACACGATGAGAATATGGAATAAAACAACACATGAATAGAAATAATAGATGACAAACATTTCTCTCTTTACATGTCACAAACCTGAGACACCGGAGGGTGATTTATCACGTACCTTGGATCCATAGTGCCTGGTACATTCTCTGTCACTTAGAGTGACGGCCAGGTGCGGTGGCTCACACCTATAATCCTAGTACTCTGGGAGGCTGAGGCGGGTGGATGGCTCAAGGTCAGGAGTTCGAGACCAGCCTGAGCAAGAGCAAGACCCCATCTCTACTAAAAAAATAGAAAAAAATTACTTGGACAGCTAAAAATATATAGAAAAAAATTAGCCGGGCATGGTGGCGCATGCCTGTAGTCCCAGCTACTTGGGAGGCTGAGGCAGGAGGATCGCTTGAG